TATTTTTGGGTTCTTTATGGTGTTTGATCGAGGGGGAAGATGGGCGACGAAGGAGACCCGACAGTCTGGCGACGGGAAGGAATAGATTTATGTAATTGTTTTTTTTCTTTAATAGACCTAGGCTCGATATTTCTTATGCTTTTGATTTTTTTGGATTTGGCAGTGGTCTTCGGTGATGAAGGAAGGAGCGGAATTCACCAGCAACAGGGGAAGGTCGAACGCCGGTCAAAAGAGGAGACATAGTTAAGCCTATTCTTGTTACTCGATTGGGTTTAAACTTCTAGTGGGGATTATCTCGTGAAGTTTTTATCGTGATGCCAAGAAAAACCACACGTTTGATTGAACTTGTAAATGGTTCAAAGCTAACTGAAAATCTTAGCCATCGCTAATGATTTCATATTTGAAGAAACGATTATAGTATGCTTTTGCTTTATATGTCTTGTATTGTAGAAAATTTGTGTTTCTAATTCTTATACTGCACATTGAGGATGATAGAAAAAGATATAGCCTCTGCTTAGGACTTTGTCTTTAAAACGAAAGGTCATATTCTAAGTTATGATCGGATTTGGAGGGGTTCCCTAGAAAACGAAAGAAAATGTCTTCCTATGATACCCTCCTAAAGCTAAGTTTGTAATAGGTATGAATTGAATATTTCCTTGCTGCTTTCACAAGGACTGAGAAAGGATTTTAGGTTTGGAACTTTGTTAAGCAAACAAGCATTTTAAACTAGATATATGAGTCGATAATTAATGAGGGTTAATAATCAACCCAGACAAGTGCTTGAAATAGATAACATGAAAAGGCATAGTGAACATCACATTTAGTTTTTTTTATGGCTCCCTTAAGCAGATTTTGTGATTAGACGTTCTAGCATATGGTTAAATTACAAGCATATCTTTTGCGCCATACAAATAACACAGATCTGATTGCATACTCACTATATCTGCAAGAGTTTAGTTCCTAATTAGATGTGTCTTTATAGTTAAGCATATACATGTCTGTCTACCATGAAGAACATTGATTTCTACTTTCTATCACATACGTAGCCATGTTTATTTTATGAATGGGAGAGGGGATGATTATGGATTTGAGATATACTAACCTGGAATTCTCGAGGAGTCGTTTTGTGGGTTGATTGGATTGCTTGTTGCCTTCTATTTCTCGGTTCCTCCTTACTGCCTCTTGCTTGTTGCTTATTGTTTCTGTCCTTTTCTTGAGCATCAGCTCCCTTTTCTTTCTTTAATCAGTGGTAAGATTTCCTTATATGACTAATGTGCACTGTCCTTTTCTTTTGTGCTGGATGTATATGGTCCGTTTTCTAAGGAGGTGGCCGTCCTCTTTTTTTTGTGGGCGGTGGGAAAGTCTGTTGCCTCTTGGGGAGAGGTCTGGAGACGAAATCTGTTTGTCCTGAGGATTGATTTGGTTAGCCTGAACTGGGGTGGAACTCTTTGGCTTTAGTATGGACTACTATTTGGGTTGTATTCTGATTATTTTATTTTTCATTTTGCAGGTTTGTGATCTGGTTTGGGCTCAAAGAGAGGAGAAAAGGAGCCAATGACTTCAATTGCTGAGTTGACCCAATTTGAAATGGTGTCTTAAACTTCAAAAAAAAAAATTTGCAGCAACAGGCAATCATTGTGATTAGTTTTAGTTCTTGATTTGGTACGTCATTACACATACTTTGTACCATGTGTCAAATTTAATTATAAAGCTTATGCCTCCATTTCATCTATCACCCCCACGTTCGAACCTCTATGCTAAACCTTTCAATGACAATCTTTGTACCTCTATTATTTTCAGAATTGATGTTTAAGATTTTCCTCTGCTAATCTTACTATCCCAATCACTCCGATTCTATGCTCTTAGCTAATTTGATTCCAGTTAATTATTTGGTGTTCAAGACTTGCCATTGCTAGTCTTGATCAAATCGATATATTTTATGGTTAATAGTCAAATCGAAATTATAATTAAGTAAACTTGAGTCTGAAAATCATTGTTACTTATTGACTTGCTAGTGCAATCTCGACCAATTCTTTTCAAGCATTCTATTTAATTTATCGTTACAATTTTCTTTCTTTTGAGTTTAAATATAGTGGTTGTATCGGACAAAATGTGGTGTCTACACCTTCACCATCTCTAAGACCATGAGCCTGTTCGGAAATCGGAGGCACACGATGAAATTCATTGGGGCGGAGAATGCCGCACCTTGACTTTCGAAGGGCTAGCCCGAGCCATGGGAGTTGGAGCCACATCTAGAGCTGAGTGGGAAGAGGGTGCGACATGAATGCAACATTTCGAAGGTATTGTCTTCCAGAGCACCGGTAAGCATCCACACTCAAGCCACAGTGGCGCATCATCAATGCCATCCTTGCCCGTTCTCTCTACCCTAGATATTACAAGCCAAACAAGATAACCATAAAGATCTTGCTAGCATTCGCTTGCATGGTGGACCGTCTAACAATATTCATCTTGGTTCGGTCTTGACCACCTCCTTTGCTAGAGCCATAGGGGGAAAGCGCCAATACTTTATGTCATTGGGGGCCTACATCAATCACCTTGCTCGTCACTACAATGTTAATCTGGCAGGCTACACAAAGGAGGGTCAGTCCTTGGCGTTCGAAGAGGCACCCTGAGTTCCATGAGTTTTCTTCGATGATTTGGACCATTTTCGGTTTATCGAGGGCCTGAATCTACCACCAGGGGTTCCTCCTCTAGAGCAGCCACCTGCTAGAGATCCCTATCCTCCCCCGGCATCCTACACTCCAGCGTCCTGCACCAATACCAACAGCAGCAACATCATCATTAGGAGCCGGTCCTTCCACCTTCGGGTTGCACCTCGTGGAGAGATGGATCGCCTTAAGACCCACGTAGTGGGAGTCACTTCCCGGCTCGACTGGCACACCGACCAGCTGGAGCGGATAGCTCGTCGCCAGGGCCCTCTCCCAATTGATGAGCCGGGACCTTCGACCCGTGATGAAGTAGAAGACAAGTGAGACATGTGGCAGAGTCGATTTCTTTCGCCCCACTTCTCCAATTGGAAGAACTCTTTTACCTTTTATTTTGTTTTTCTTTCTTTTATTCGGTGTGCGCGTGTGTGATCAACTACTACTACTATCGTATTGTTATGTGTAATAACCTCGCCTCAAGCGAGTATGTGTTTGTTTTCGTCTTCTCCTTGAAGCTCCACCTCCTATCCTGGATAAAAATAATAATTCAACTTTCACTCCCCAAGCCATGCGGTAACATCGTTTTGTCCCTATCTGACGCCATTGAGGGCAATATCGAGCTAAAGTGTGTGGCGGGGGGGGGGGGGGGGGGGGGGGGGGGGGGAGGGGGTCGCTTATTATTTTGCTTGTCTGGGTGTGATTGAATGCTTGGAGCCTTGATGTTGTATGCCCAAATTTGAAAGATTTGAGGGCTCCAAGCAATGTTTGCATGATCAAAGTGGCCGGTTTGTGGGAGAATCTCCTGTTTATTGCCATTAACCTTTAATTTTTGCATGTGATCGAGTGTGTCCTATGATGATGACTGAGAGGTGCATTAGGATAGTACAAAGGTTTAGTTCTCATGTGTGCAATAATTAATGGATGTTTTGACTCGATTACTTGTTGATTACAATTGCCATGCATTGTGTTTTGTGAATTGGAATACATGGTTGGGTGACTAGGTAGCCATATGAGTTTTGAGCCGAGGTAGCCATGTGAGTTTTGAGTTGATCGTTTTCTTCTTGTGTGCTTAGATCCCACTTTCCTTGGCAAGTAACATCATAGTTGTCACTAGTGAGTATGATGGAGGCATAGGATTAGTGCAGGCCCAAATGTTGACCCCCCCCCATCCTTTCTTCGTGTCTATACGTGATTCGTCCTTGTATCTCGGAGCTCGTTCTTAGGAGCTCCATTGAGGTTCTACATAGGTGTATTTGGTGCGATTCTTGCTAGGAATGTGATTCGGGTCCAAACGCACACATTTTACCCCTCATTTCTTGTCCATCTTGCTAGGTTGTGCTTGGTTTGTTACATTTCAGGTCCTAGCACGTGTGGGAAGGTCGAGGACGAGTTTCAGGTCATTATTGGCATCTTCGGGTCACTCCTCACCCTATATCGGCCGGGTAATCCCCGAGGGAGTCGATTCCATCAATCTTCTACGATATAGGGTTTCCCTAAGTTGAATAGAGCCTACCACATTCATCGATTCGGCGTTCCGGGTCATTCCCGAGGGAGTCCATCTCCTAACGGTAGAGTAATTGAGTCAATCGAGCTTTCGACCTAGGAGTGAAAAAACTCCTCACCCCATATTGTCTGAGTAATCCATGAGGGAGTCGATTGGATCAATCTCCTATGATATAGGGGTGCCCTAGGTTGAATAGAGCTCCTACCCATCCATCACTTCACCGTTCCGGGTCTGTCCCGAGGGAATTCATTTCCTAACGGTAGGATAGTGGATCGATCGAGTTAGGATGGTACTCAACATCGATCATATGACGGAGCTAGGAGGATTCAAACCAAGAGAGCTCCCTACCTTGTAAATATCTAGGATTAGTGGTTAGTCTAGGTTAGTTAGTTTAGTTGTATTAATCACTATCCTAAGTTGGCTAACGAACCCTAAACCTGAAGTAGGGTAAGCCTAGATCCCCGTGGTATGATAAATTCTTATTTCTTGCTTGACCTATGCTACACCCAGTCGCTGGTTATACTTGGCCGGCGATTGGGATGTTGTAGTTAGAACGAGTCAGAATGAAAGAGAAAAGAGTAGTATTGGAGTAAGTTCATAAAAGAGAGCATTGGTTGTTAAATGTAATGTGACAAGTGTTTTACTCTCTAGTACCCCTCTCAAAAGGAAAGAAAAGAAAAGAAAAGAAAAGGAAAGGAAATAAGAAAGAAAAAGATTCGAAAAAAGAGGTAATAAAGCGGGGTAAATAAAGTAGAGGGTGCCACAAAAATCAAAGTGTATGCTCTAGGAGGGTTTTCTTGGAACTCAAGCTATTGAAACATCCACATTGTTGTTGAACTCCTTCATTATTATGTTCGAAATGTGATAGCAAGAGTAGGCCGATGAAGTGTGCTTGAATGTGGTTCGTGATGGGTGATAGTTTGGAAGGGAGAAGTAAGGTTTTTGGCCGATGCTAGTGGCCATTGTTTGCAGGGAAGTTCTTAGTCGAATCCATAGAACCTTCAATTTTAAGGTGAAGATGTAGGACCTTGTGTTGTGTTTGCCACCACCCAAAAAGCCTTTTCCCCATGCCCAAGACAATTGCCAGTCATTTGAACCCGTGTCTAAGACCTCCGGACAAGCTAGTGATGACAACCAACCCGTGCACTCTAGCATCTAGAGATTGCCGCCATGGTGAAGAGACGCTATGGCCAAGAGTGGATGATTGTGCACATTTTTTGCACGAAATGGTCCCGACCCCACTGGTCAAGAGAGTGAGGGATTCATTCTTGCTTTGCATGTTATATCATACCCCGGTGAGGACCTTTGTCGCCCATTCGTTCATTCCTTGTACTTGAATGTTATGCATGGAGTTGTGGTTGATGATTGGTCTTGTTGAGACTTGCATTGATTCATGGAAAAGGTGAGAACTTTTCGTTTTCCCTTTTTTTGTGGTCTCAAATGTCATTTATGGTGATGCTGGTATCGCCTGCAATGGTCCATGTGTTAATAGCCATTGAGATTCGCCACTTTGTGCCCTTTGATTTGTCCCCAAGTTATTCTGTTAGGTGGAGATATTACCTTGTGTGAATGGTTTGCTTGGGGACAAGCAAACGTCTAATTGTGGGGGAGTGATTGGGGCCTAAATGTACACTTTTTATCCCCGTTTATCTTTGGCGTTTTGATAGAAACCTATGGTTTCTATTATTACTATAATTATTATGAGGGTTTTATTATTAAGTGTTTGAGTCATATTAGGATAGTCTATTAGGTTTTTCCAATCTTTCATTATAAATATGTACTTTGCGTTTTATTCAGAATCAATCAAGAAGAATATTAAGAAAATCTCCTAAGCCCTATTCTCCCAATCCTCTCAATTCTCGATCTCAATCCCTCTAAAGGCCTAGGCCGATTCTCTATCTTTCTCTTCTCAAATCCCTAATTTCTGTTCTTAATCCCTAAATCCCAATTCCCGATAGAATCCTAGAAACAGGTTCTATCATTTGGTACCAGAGCCAACATGAGCTCATCGAGGCTCTCCGATTTGGAGTGGACCCGTGTGAAATAACAACTCGACACCATTCGTGCCGAAAAAGACCAAGAGGTGCGCGAACGTGCGGCACGGCAGCGAGCCGTCGCGGCGCCGAGCACTGAGCATGCGGAGGATCAGCCGACGCTGATGAAGAAGACGATGGTGGATGGCGGAAGGATAAAGAAGCTAGCAGCGGATTCTGGGACCAGGGTGTCGAGGCCTAAGCTGAGGATGGATGAAGCACCAGAATCACAGCTCTTCGCTTCAACGTGCGATCGGCTAGAAGCCCTCATACAACAAGCGCTCGATCGCCGAACCCAAGAGGAACGAAGGTGGAAGATGAATATGGAGGAGATCATGCGACTCATAGACTCGCTGCGGCAAACCACGCCACCTCCCACCTAGACCGGGAAGGAGACGGAGGTGGGAGCGCCAGAGAAAAAGGCAGAGAGGGAGGGAGGCAGCGGTGAGCCTCCTTGCGTATCGCCGGGGAAGGAAGCGCTGATGACCTGAACAAAGGAGGAGAAGGATCCGCTGAAGAAGGAGGTGACATCGGAGCTGGAAATCGAGCCACTAGACACGAGAATCGTGCGAGGAGACCCGCGATCCTCGGTGACTTCCCTTGAGGCGTGAATCGCACATGCGACTTCGCGATCTGCGGCTCCGACGCGAGGTTGACGGAGAAGGAGAAGAAAGACGGAGGTGGACAACCTCTGTGCGAGTCGTGGGCAAAGGAAGTAAGGAAGGGTGGCACGATGAAGGAGATGGAGGAAGGCGTCTCGTCTCTTCTGTGCAAACCCATGCAGCGGCCAACACTCGGGCCAAAATAGATGGTGATGGGCCGACTAACTCAACTTGGGTCGACTGTGAACAAATGGGTTCGACCAGAGACTTGGGCCAAGCAAGAACCCTACGATGAGCTGAACCTGAAAAACAAAGGGACGAGGTGGTTCCAAGAGGAAGATGGGCCGAGAGTTGAGGAGAAGCAGGCCAAGAAAGAGTTTTTTTGTGGGTTGAGTCTTATGGAACGAATTGGGCTCAGGGTGGGCTGTTCTTTGAAGAACATGGGTTTGGATAAAGAAAATGGTTGGTTTAATGAGTGGGCAGGTGGGCTTTTAAAAGAGCGGAGCCCAAAAGCAATTAGAGAGACATCAAGGCAACGAAAGAAGAAAATGGTTGGTTCTTAATGATGGATTTTTGTACAAAGAAGCATCTTTGGGTTTCTTAAGATTACGGAGGAGGATGACAACGAAAGAAGGATTAGGGATGTGGGGATTGCTTGAAGAGGCAAAAATTGGGCTCTTAGAAATGAAATTTACCGCTCTTGATCAACACAAGAAGGCCAACGCAAGAAGCCCAAGATAAGTAGTGAAGCACGATTGGAAGAAAAGGAAGCGCGAGGAGTGGAGGAGACAAGGCACAATCTATGCGGGAGATAGGGTGAAGAAATGGATCAAGTCGGTTAACCTTGAGGGCAAGGTTGGTCTCAAGAGGGAGGAGATGATAGAAACCTATGGTTTCTATAATTACTATTAATATTATGAGTGTTTTATTATTAAGTGTTTGAGTCATATTAGGATAGTCTATTAGGGTTTTCCAATCTTTCATTATAAATATGTACTTTGCGTTTTATTCAGAATCAATCAAGAAGCATATTAAGAAAACTCTCCTGACCCCTTTTCTCCCAATCCTCTCAATTCTCGATCTCAATCCCTCTAAAGGCCTAGGCTGATTCTCTATCTTTCTCTTCTCAAATCCCTAATTCTGTTCTTAATCCCTAAATCCCAATTCCCGATAGAATCCTAGAAACGGGTTCTATCACGTTTGTGGCATTTGATCACCATAAAGGGTGGTTTTACGCTAGGTTTAATGTGTGTCAATTTGTTTTAGAGTCTAACAGGTGTAACCAACCCCGGAGTCGAAAGTTGGAAGAAATGACGCAAGGACCGGGCAAAGAGGATGAATCAACTGTTGTTCATGGTCCAAGCTGTGAGTTCACGGTCGCCAGGACCGTGAACTGAAGCCACAAACCGCGAACTGAAGGGCGTCCAAGGAGGTTTCGCAAGTTACTGAAGCCATGGACCACTAACTCAACAAATGAAAGCGGTGCGTTTTGGCTGTGTTCACGGTCCATGCCAGATTTTCACGACCGTGAACTGGGACCGCGAACTGAGCTCGACCATTGTATAAGAGGAGAGCTGAAAGGAAGAAGAAGAGAGGAACCCAAAGTGAGAGAAACCTTCTTCTTCTTGAAACCCTAGAGAGAGAAAGTCACGAACCAAGAGGAGAAGAGGCTCGGGTTTGCTCCAAGTCAAGAATTGGGAAGTTCCTCTTCAATGGAGGATCTCTACAAGCACAAGGAAGGTTTGAGGCATCACAATGATGGTTTTTTTCCTTTTTCCTTTGTTTTCTTCCTTCTTCTAGCATGGAGTAGTCTCCTATTCACTTCAGTGTTGTGGAACCCTAACTTCTACCATGTAGTTGATTCTGTGGATTGAATGATTGTGTGTGAATGATGTTTAATTTAAAGTTTTGAGTTATTGTTCATGATGATTGTGCATTTTGTGTGCTTGGCAATCTACTGTGCTACCCTAAGCTAGCTTAGCGAGAAGCCCTCTTTCCTTAAGAGGCTCAAATTGAGCTGGGTTTTCTTAGGCATTCCATGCCTCCTAACTAGGTTAATGTAAGACAACCCTCTAAACTCAAGTTAGACATCTAGGTTAATTATGATTAAGCCGTCCAAACCCCGGTTTGAGGGAGAAGGTAAGTCAACCCTCTTTTGCTTGGGCCAAGAGGGCTTCTTTCGTAGCCTGTAATGCATTCCTTGGCCTAGCGATTGAGAGTGTGGTTTCCAACCACTGTTGCTCCTCCTACAGTTCGCAATCACCTTGTCGCACACCAATTCATTCGATCCCATAGTTCATGGTAGTTAGTTAGGGGAAAACAACTCCCGAGTGAAGCTTCTCACCAAGAGTTTCAACCCCTTTTACTTTTCAAGCCTTTCATTTTTAATCATAGATTGTAAAGATTCTTTCAAACTTTATTCCGTTAGATAATATTTCAAACAATTGAAGTAGGGGTACATGGACCGGCCCGGGTTGATATTTAAACATACTGGCCCTATATTGCACCCATTTAAGGTTTACACTTGAGCCTTTGGTGGGATTTAAGTGTGATATTCGGACCGAGTCACGCGCATGACTGGCTCGGGCGGCCCATTGGACTCTACTCGTTGGCCTTGTCCCCGTCCTACCACTCGGTCGTCCTACGCTCGGGGATCTCCTCCAGTCGTCTTCAAGGTTTCCCACCCCTAGATTTCACCATGCTCCACTAACCATCGGAATTAGCGTGTCACGATAACGATGCTCCTCACCTACGAATCGGCTTGCCTTTCGTGGAGACAACTCAGGAGTTAGGAAGGGCGGTGGTGGCATCTAGGCTTCAATACTCCCGCGTCCCCCTTTCGGCATCCACTGCTCCTTTGTGGCTGGTTATTTGAGCTTCTCGTATGGATCAGGTCAACCGTCTCACTTCACCTTTCTCTGTTCCACCCTCGCCTTGGATTAAGACGGCGAGGCTCTCGCCATGGGTGTGTATGAGGTCGACGATGCTTTCCATCCGTTGAGTCATCACCACAAACTTTGCCACCATCTGCCTGACTTCCACTTGGAGGTCTTCTTCTCATGCTCGAGGTTCAGAATCTCGGAATTGCTGGTTGACATCCTCCTTGGGCATCTATAGAGTGAACCAAGTCGAGGTCTTCTATGGGGGCGTCCCTCCTAGTTTTGACAAACCAAATTCTAATACCAATTGACCAATAATTGATTCACAAGTCGGAAATTAATTTACTATTATTCCAAAATGTAGATACAAAGTACACATTTGTAAGACTAAGCGTATAAATCAGTGTTATTAAAGCCGAGCCGAGCCGCTCGGCCCGACCGGTAAAACCGCCACCCGGTCACAAAACCGGCTCGGAACAGTCTAAAAGCCGCTCCGGTTTTATGTAGCGGCTGGCGAGCGGCCGAGGCGGTTAACCGTTCAAGCCGATCGAGCCGCTCGTCTGCTTTTTGCCATTCAGCCACTAAATTTAATTAAAAAAATTGTAGAAAATCGAAAATTGAAATAAACCAAAAACGTCGGGCTCTCAAATTGAATCCTTATTTCCATTTCACAATTTCGAAGGAAAGAGATGAGCTCGGATTAAGAAATGTCCACTATTTATACTAATAACGTTTATTAGATACCGGTTCTCTAACGGTTTTTAAACGGTCTAATGCCGGTTGGACCGCTAAAGTACGAGCCGTTCGCACACCCGGGTCATTCTCCGGTTCGGTTCTGACGACATTGGTATAAATCTTGTCCCTCGTGAGCAAGGAAAACTAATACGAACCCAATTGCTAAATAATACCTTACTTAACAAGAAATAATAATAATAATAATCCCAAATAAACCAAAATAATATTCCAATTAACATAATAATAGTAATAATAAAAATATTATTATTATTATAATTAAAATACAAGGGAGAAGAAAAACTTGTTGATTGTTGATGATGCTTTCTTAGCTTTTTCTCCTCCTTATTACTACTAGGCTAATACAGCAAACTTGCGTGGAAACAAATAATAATATAAACACAAACAATCTAAAATCCTAACCTCTGCTGATAACTATAATCCTCCATCCGAGATAAAGGAAAAGAGAGAAAAGAAAAACTTGTATACAGAGAGCTCAATTACTTAATTCAGTTCCTTCCATGTCAAGGTCTTGGTGATTAATCACTTTACTGACCCAGAACTAGGAGCAAAGCAACACAACCGATGCTGCTGCTTCTGCTTCCCTCTCTGCAAGCGCCTACCAGGTAAAGCAAACCGCCTCTGCTTCTTCTTCAATCCCTCTTTATTCCGCAAAGCATTTTCGTTCATGCCATTTACGACGTCCCTGGAGGCTAGTTTATCATCCTCATCGTCTCTAATCTGGTCCATTACTATGGCTTCATCTACAATATTATTCCCAGTCTCACTCGAAACTTGCTTAGGATTGGAGACGAATGGTTCTGGTGATGCTGGTGCTACTTTTTTATAGTTATATTCCCTTGTGACAGAGCTTGTCGAATGCCTGCGGGAAATAGGATAAGTTGCAATCCAGGTAACCTGATAGATCAATCAAAGCAATAGCAATACGTGTTCGGAAAACTGGGATCTGGGGTTCATAAATATGAGTACCTGGCATAGGAACAGGATGAACCGTTCTTGGAATCATCAGCATTTGGAGGCAACCCATCGTCCTTTTTTGTAGAATTTGAATCCTTTCCTTCTGCACCCTTTTCCAGATTGGAGGTCTCTTCATTAGTTACAGGAGTAGTAGATGATGGCCTCACTACAGCATTAGATTCAGATTTCCGAACCATGGAGATGGCCCTCTCTAAAATTTCTAAAGCTTGTTTTACCTCAGGTTTTATAGCAATATAACCCTTTCCTGCAATTTTAATGGTTGAGGCAGAGGGTTGACCTATTATACCTTTGTCAACATTCTGCAATTGCCCCGTAGGTTCGGCATCATCTTCCATGCTCTCACCAGAATGATTACTTCTTTCAACTCTCTGTTCTGCACTTCTGATTACATCTCCATCTAACAGGTAGCCGCTTCCTTCACTCCCGTATTCTTCAATCTCATTTACTTCTTCTTTTGCTACATCATGTGCTCTATCTGGCAAAGACTTATCTCCATCATCTTCATCAATGTTTGCTTTTCCTTCCGTGATCTGATGCTGGCTGTTGGCTGCATAGATAGCATCTCTCATTCGAACATAGAATGGATCATCCAAAGCTCGGATGTATTCTTCATCATCCTTATATAATGCAGTTACTGCCTGTGACAAACATTCATTCATGAAATTGGGAGATGGTTGAGGTACTCAAACGTAAAGAAAAGCATCCTGGGAAAACTTGTCCAACCTTCTGATAAAGCTTGAAACCACTCCCAATGAGCTGTCTTGAGATAAAATTTATGAGAGCTGGAGGAACGAAGTCAATCTTCAGGTCCACAGTAGCAATAGTCCTGCAGGAATGGCATGGTAGCATAAATTATGAAAAACAGAAAACACAGATCTTACAGCGAATCGTTGAGGCAAAATAATTAGATATTGAGCTAGCACCAATGGGGAACTTCATTCAAGCTCGAGGTAGTCGGACCAAGCGTTGAACAAAGAAGTTCAAGTTGAATAACTAAGAAAAGAATAGTCCTTTTTCACTCCTTATAAACGTAGTCTGTTTTCAAATATTTTCATATTAGTGATTCCTGGAAACAGCCAAAAAAAAAAAAAACTCACCGGAAGTAACTTCTTGTTGGGGTAACCTTCTGTAAAGCAAAGCCACCCACCAATTCCGCTCTTACCACATCTTGAGCTTCAGGTATTCCGTCCTTGGTATAACCATGGGTATTTATATCAATGGCCTCCAAGTCAGGGACCTGAAACCAATTTTTCTAAGGCCTAAGTTTCCCAATCTTTTAGTTCCATCTACAATCAACTTGCCTCCCAGAAATTGAGATGATTACCGTATTCATAAGAACGATAATTACCCCCTCCTTGGGGTACTCAAATAAGACATAGTGAATTACAACCTCCCTAGCTTGCAGTGGCCAGGCTACCTTCACCCTTTTCATGTAAAATGTTTCAGATAGAGAGGTGAAAAAGAAAGTGGTACATCAGATGCAGGATTCAGATGAAAGTAACCAAAATGAGCAAGTGGCTTCCAAGAAGCTGCTTACCTCACTAAAGATATCTGTTCGCCTATCCGAATCCTTTTTAAGCATTTGCAGACTGCAATCTTGAAAGGCGGCATAATCACCTGCGGCCACCTGCAGAAAAAGAGAAACAAATCACAATGAACAACAACATACACCAGTAAGTTGATGCAAGTAGCGCAGCAGCTAGCACCTAACTTTTAGTAAGAGAAAAAAGGCATTCCTCACCAAGGGCCTTTCTTCACCAACTTTTTGACGCTGCAAACCGCATCATTCATTATTCAGCCCACTGACATGGATTTGCAGAAAATATAAAGAGAAGATAGAACATCGCCTTACCATTTCCTGTACAAAGTGGACTCCCAACCGATGCATAAACCTACACCATTCCAGTACAATGAGTCCATCACTGGTGCTTTACATAAGTTTTTTTTATTGGCCAAATACCTAAGACAGACAAACTTACATGCATCGACAGGACCATCAACATAGCCTTCCACAAGCAATGTGTGAAAGGGGGTGCCCCGAAGTCCTGGGCGATACATAACGCGGTACTCTTGGTTATTGTCCTTTACCTGTGTAACACAAAATAAGAAGCGCCCGAAGACATAATAAGCTCATTTTCCATGTCATAAATACATGTTAAATAACCTGAAAGCAAGTGAGCTATCTAGACCATACTTTCCATTCACCAGATGGTGGCTCATTTATTTTGGATGGCTCTTTCCCACTACTTGAGGCACTCCTTAACATGTCAAGAAAGTTGGACACATCAGCAGTTCTTTTCTCCACAAGATTCTCACTGCAAGCTACACAATCAGCAGGAAAACACCGCTAAATTTAGACTAGCCCTTTCTCAGCGTGAAATCAGCAGCACAGCAAAAAAAAATTTTTTTTTTACAACAGCAGCAAAGCAAGAAACACCTTCACATTTCAGAAATGCAACAGCAAATAAGGCAAACTAAGATAAAACCTAACCTTCACTCTCATCGGTTCTAGACTGTAGCATTTGATCCCTAACGAGGGATTTAAGAGCTTCATGATCTGTGAGTTCAGGAGATGCCAAAGACTTGTCCAACTTGGCTCTATACAACGAGATTTCCCCTTTCTTGTCCATACTTTAGCCTCTATGAATCAATCAACCGATTCTCTCAAACTCTGCCTGTCATGAATGATTCCAGTCATTTCCTGAGCTCAATGTTACGAGAAACACGTGAAAAGCTTTTGCCACAGGAACAGTTCAACAGCAATAATCATATTGCAGCCATACTTTCCATTTCTAGGATCTACTCGATATTGCAAAAAACATCTGCAGCCTGAAATGGTGAAATATGTAAATCATGTTTGAAAGAATGGTCCAGCAGTCAAACCCCCCAAAGTTAGATCATCACCTGATTGCAAGGCAAAAATCTTTGTGAAACCAGAAAACAATACAAGATAGAGCAGAGGATTAACAAACTGCGCCCATCTTTTCATTCACCAAAACATGAAAATAAGAAGCTGCTGCACAATAAGGAGAAAGATGATATATTTTCAGTGAACTTCGACTCACCTAGAATCCTTTATATATACCAAAACCACCTAAGTTGAGCTCTCAGAAACCAGAACGCGACCCAGCACTTGAAATCATAGATGGATCCAACCCCGGAACGACCGACGCAGAATTTATGCCGAACCCATCATTCTTATTGAGACAAGAATCCATATTTCACTTGCGCCCATACGGGATGACTAGCTGCCAGCCCATGTGAGAGTCCTCGTTCTCGTCCTTGTTACAGAGAGAGGGAGAGAGGGAGTGAAAAGCACAAGAAATCCCCTTTCTGCCGACGAAGGATTCAGCACCGAAACCAAGGGGGGAAAGTAATTATGTAAGCTGCTCTATCTTTCTTTTCTTTACCTCTGCTCCCAATTCAGAGCCAGCTGGCTTGTGCGGGGAAATTCAGGGCGGTAGGGCCGAAGAGGTAGGTGAAAAAGGAAAGACACTAGCTTTGTTATCTTCCCTGGATATCAATTCATAATTCCTGGGTTTTAGCATCAAAAGGGTAATCTGGGTTCTGGCACTTTCTGATGGATCAAAAACAGAGGACAAATTTCCCAATAAAAGTATTTGACTTGGGGGATTGAATCATTCAACCAGTTTTCAAAGGCTTTGAATGAGGAGGTGGGGGAGGATGAGCTGTTTGTTTCCAACTTCAATTAGGCAGTTGGGTAAGGGTTGGGGCAGCCGTGCCGTGTGATGACTGATGATTGACTCTTCTGTCTAGAATATTAGTATTAGCAGTGCGAGACCTTCGTTAAATAGAGCTCAAATGACGACTTACTTACAACAGTTTCATATTAGAGCTGAAAGAGACTCGTCAGTCTGTCATTAGAAACCACAATGGACACCGGTCGAGCTCTGCTAGCGGCTGATTGCTTCTTCACACCTTCCGCACCAAGTTCATTAAAGCAGGGTAAAGCTAAGAATTTGAGCATAGAAGTTCTTCATATTCAATTACTTCAGCCTTTGAAATTGACGGTCAAGCTCCATTTTTTAGCTGGTTCGAATATGAATTTCACCTTCCCTAGAGAGTCGATGCATTCAGAAAAGAAAAGAGTAGAGAGTAGGTAGTATAGGGGTAAACAGTTCATGAACTCTGTCTGCTACATATGTTGGTAGGCTGGTTTTCTTGCCTTCATAAAAGGTGCTCACACAACTCGAATAAAACGGTGCATTAATTTGTTGTCATGAGTATACGTGGGGGACGCAAGAACAAGAAAGAACAATGCTGATGTCATAGGACAGTAGAATCATCCCTTCCCTCTATAATATATAGCTATAATATATAGCAGTGCTTCAGCAGATTTTGAGCATTTTAAATTCCTTATACTCTCCTTAATTATAGCTAGGGATGAATTTGTAAGTTCAATTTAGAATTTAAATATCTTCTTACAAGAAAAATTATCATTACAAAGAGTTAAACTCGAGTCTTTTAGATTGATAATCAATGTCCCTAACCAACTGGACTATAACAATGTTTATGTATTTTTTGAATTAAAGAGAGAAAATACTAAAATATCTCAAAATCATAGGACTATCCACCGCAACAATCAATCTTCGAATTAATTTATAATTGTAATTATTTACAAACTAAATCATCATGATATACCTAGCTTTATGAATCAACTAAGTGAGTTCTCCTAATCACATAATTCTTCACCATGAATCAAATAGTACATTTTGAGTTTATATATGTCTTACAACTTTTCATTTATTAGATTACATGACTTCGTACTTTGTAGGAATACAAGGATTGTTTACAAAAGTGTTATACAAAATTTTATTTCAAAACATAAAATTTGACATTTGTGATCTATGGTTTTGTAACGAGACATTTTCAATGCTATAAGTAAATGACCAAAAATCATTGACTAACAATTTCCCTAATGACTGACAATCATAAGCATAGAATTGAAAGACTAAATACCATTGACAAACGAGCCAATTATCATTGGCTAAATTTAACAAACAATGGTATGTGTATATACATTGGAAATTCTATGGTACGCTCGATGGATTGAGGGTTATTGCATCTCCTTAGTTAAATAACATTATCTAGACCATAGATTAATCACGTAATTAAACCCTATATCATAATTCTCTAAATCCTAATATAGGGCATATGGTATGTTGTATGCATCATGGCGAATCAGAATCATTGATTATGTTCTTAGTATATGTGATATTAGGGTTTAAGTTCTATGAATTTAGGGTATTTGATTTAATTATTTAAAACTCAATCTCCCTTTTCAAATTTCCTACAATGAGAGAGAAATTAGGAAGGATATTTTTGTCTTCACATTATCTTTATTTTTTATTTATTTACAGAAAAAGATAGACATATTGAGATTTGAACCATGGTCACTTCAAACAAAGTGAAGGTTTAAAATCATACTATGAAGATTTGTTGTATTTTTTTAAATTAAAAATATATACGAAACTAAAATATAAAATTAAAGAACTTTTCAACAGTTAGCTAGCCCAATAAATATTCCGTACGTACTTAATTGGTCTTTTAATACTTCAATTTTGATATTTTTTATTTTAATTATAGTTTAATGCTTATTTTAAAATTTTATCTATCTTATAAATAGACGATAACCATAAATTTGCAACCAAAATATTGTTGGTTCGAATATTTCATATCGAATTATAGTATTGAATATGTAGAAGCGATATAGAATTCTGAAATTACCATTAATTTCCAGAACTATAGTGAAGCAATCATATCTTTGTGCAAACTATAGGGGACTGGTTCTCTGAATATTTTTGTCCGGTTAAATACTAAGTTTTGAACCTTTTCCTAGGGGTGTATGTGGGTCAGTTCGTTTGGGTTTAGATATTTTAACCACCTAACTCATATACCACGATTTTTGAAAACACTAAATAAAAACTCACCCAAATAATTTAGAATTTTAACGGTTTGTGTCCTCCATACCAAATGAACCAATTTACATGTCGCTTAACTAAGAACGATCGCATTGTCCAATCTCATCATTCTAATGACAATCCATAAAAGTAACACATATTCGCATTTGTTAACACATGTTTCACATTGTCATTACTATGACCGGTAACTTCGCTGCAACTGATTCGGTGTTGCTCATCATATGGCCTCCAAATTGATAAACATATCGGGCCAGCAGTTTTATGACAAAACTCAAAGTGAAGACAACTCATCTTCTGGTGAAATTTTGGCGCTTGCTGGTGTCCATTAATTTAATTGCAAGCATATGATTACTAAAATTAAGCTTTCACGCAACACACTGGGAGTTGGGGGTGTGAACTTGGAGTAAAAGTTGATATTGGGTTTGGGAAGGGAAGTGGTGAGAGGAAGAAATTGTGTTTGGATTTGGTAGCAGGTAAAGTTCATGGTTCGGTTTCTTTTCGTAAAATGCTTTGATTTATTTTAGTTAGAAGTATAATATCATGGTTATGTGTGGATCAAATGAACCAAAAATGATCTTGGGGGATGGGAATTCCAACTTAGAAGGAGTGGATTCGATTTTGATAAACTCAAGTTCATGATTAACTGAAGAATATTTAGATTTAGACTTTGTGGTATTGAGATGTTCATAGAGAGTTTAAAACTGATCCAAGGCCATGGATTGATATTGGTTAGTTGATTGATTTTGAGGAAGGTGTATAAAATGTCATGGAAGTAGTTTGCAGCAAGTGAAGGAAGTGAAGAGGCAGTTGGTCAGGGTAGTGATTGAACCAAGGAGGGTATTGAAAAATGTAGAAGCAAAATCGAAGCAGTTGAAGAGAGAGAAGTGGTAGATGATCAGGATATTAATGAAAATGTAGAGGGTATTGAAGGGCATGGAAGTGAACTGGATCAGGTGAAGGCAGAGAAGGAGGAGAAGAGCATATACAGGTTGGGGATCAATTTGACAAGAAACTCAATTGAAAGGGAAATTCAGGTTCATGGAGAGATGGTCCATCAAAGTAGCATAAATGGAATTGCATAAGGAGGATTAGAAATTTAATTTTGGTTTAAAACACATACGTAGAGAGATTGAAGATGGAGGGGATAAAAAGTTGGTTGTATAACGGAGAGTGGAAACTATTGGATCTTTAGGTGTTATGACTGTTGCAACTACCACAACCTATGTTTATGTTAAAACGAGGAATCATTGATTGATTTACTAAAGTTAAGGTCGATTCTCGATTGAATGATTTTCAATGCACTTAAACGAATTAATAGACTTAAACATAACATAAAAAATAAATATTAAAATATGAACATAAATATAAATCCTCCATTATAATATGGCAGTACTTTGTGAGATTTTCTCCATTTTGAATTCTCTGCCTCCTCCTTAATTGTAGCTAGGGTTATAATAGAAAATGTCATCTTATTAAGTAAAAAATAATAATAATTTTAGGGTTATAATAGTAAATGTCATCTTACTTTCTAATAAGTAAAAAATAATAATAATTTTACTTCCGGCAAGATTTGAACCTTGGTTGTTTTAAACAAAGACAAGGGTTGTAACCAATTACACTACATTAATTTGTTGTATGCCTCTAAATTAAAAACATACCTGGAGCGAAAATCGAAAAATTACAAAACTTTTCAATGGTTAGCTAGCCAAGTAAAACTCTGATGAGTACTTATTGATGTTCGATACTTCAATTTTAATATTGTGATTATTTTAATAAACTTTTATTTTTGTAAAGTTGAAATTCATTAACTAAATAAGGAGTTAAGAGTTAAACAAGTTACACAACGAAGGCACACTCACGCACCAGAGACAACAAGATAAACAACCCCTATCCCAACGAATATTGCATATCAAAATCCAGTATTGAATATGCATAATTCTTATTAATTTTTAGAACTACTATGAAACAATCATATTCATAACTTTGTGCGATCTCAATGGCACTGGTCCTTTGAACGTTTTAGCCTGGTAATTGCTAAATTTTAAACCCCTTTCTAATCCGGCATGATTGGATCCAACAATCATTAGACGATGATAAGTTTAATAAGTTTGTTCATTTCACCTTTTTTATGTGTTAATGAATATGTTGGGCAAAGACATGTTTACATATACACTCTACACAATATATATAATTGGAATGAGAAAATTGTTTCCCCATTTCAAATTTTCTATATCGAGACTGAAAGTATGAATGATATTTTTGTCTTCAAAATTATTTATATGTATTATTTATAGAAAAATAGAAAAAATTGGGATTTAAACCAATGTATCTTCAAACAAAGACAAGACTCATAACCATGATTGTCAACCCGAGTTTGACTCGGCCAATTGAACCAATTATTCACAGACCCGAGTATCGCACTAAATGCGGAAGGCCTAATAGGTTATCCACTTGGGGCGACCAAACCCAATCAAATCAAGAAATTCGTCTGATTCAACCAACTACTCCGAGCACCGGGCCACTTCAAAACGACATCGTGTTCAACAAATCGTATTCGTAGCTCCATTTTTCGTGGCATCCTTTTCCTAATCACAAACCCTACAACAACAAACATAAAAAAAAACTCATGTTCGACTATCTCACCGTCTCTTCTTCCTTTAGGTTCGACAGGCGACAATACAAGGCTCAACCATCTCATAAACCATCCCAATCCATCGGTAGTCAATTCCATTTGCGTTCTAGCAACACTATCATAGTGTCAACTGATCTCATCTCATACAAAGAAGAAGCAAAAAAGTTTAGAAGAACATGCATTTGGATTGAGATTTTGTGTGACTAATAAATGCCAAGTTGCTCATTTGCATGTGGGCTCTTTGTAGGAATTGTGATCTCATCTGGTTTAAAAGTCATGACTAGATTGGAAGATAAAACTTCGATCAGATTATTCAGGTGACCACTAATCTACATATTGTTTGAACTGGTACAATAGTTTTTTTATAGGATAATATCTATTTTTTATCCAAAAATTTTCAGATTCTTTTATATTATCCAAACATATCGAAATACTAACAATTATCCAAATGTTAACTTTCAGTTAGTAATTTTGACTTGACAATTTGATACTAACTTGGAATAGACTCATGAAGGTCAATATTTCCAAAATTTCAATATTTTAACTAAGGAAAGAGTTACAAAATTATTAACAATAACATAAAAATGGCTAATATATTGATGCATTATGAAAGATTTGAACAATTAATAGAATTTTAATAGGTTTGGATAATATAAAAGAATCTGAAAAATATTTAAATAAAGAATAGACATTACCCTTTTATATATAAGAATCTTAAAATTTTGGAGAAGATATGTTTTTTGAAGGAAAGGAATGAAAGGTTGATGATCGATAACTAAAAAAATTGGAAGATTATGAGAAACGGTGATACCATGGGGGTGGGTACTGGGGGTGCAAATTAGAGAAAACTTGGCGATTGCAATTACGGGGATATTAATATTATTTTCCTTCTACAAATAAAGTTCACAACACAAAGCGAATTTAGGTGACTTTATGCATAAAATCGGTCAAAAATCATTTGATTGAGTTATTAAACTTTATTATTTTATTCTTGATCTGGGTATATAGTTAATTAAAATAAAAGGTGTTGTAGTGTTTTGCCCAATGATTCATCTCTCCTATATCGATAAATTACTACAATAACTATTTTGATGTTTCTATTGCTGAAGACGATGTTTGATCAGTTATATAGTCATCCTTTACTTCTCTTCCTATACCAGACTTTGAACTTGAATGGATTTTTGGTCTTCGTCCAAGGTTAATCGCTTCACATATGTAAGTCATTCATTTTTTCTTTTTGTCCCATGGTTTTATCTTACTTATTAATAACAAAAACGACTTTTATTTTCTGGTTGTATCATGAAAAGAACATGCGATCTATTTATTTTGATCCTATTGTGTAAACGATGTTTGAAGCCTGGTGGATCTCTTGCGTCGTTGCTCCTCTTTCTGTTGTTAGGTTTCAACTTCAATGAGGCTTTTATTTTCATAGAACTGGTAGGCTATTATTCCCTTCCCAATTTATCTAAGTTGTTTATGATTGATTTATAAAATATAGAAAAGGAATTTGACAGTGGTTTGGGTGCTTGATTTGTTTGAAATCAAATAGATATTTGGGTAGAACACGAGCAGTTGTACTTTTCTATATCCCTATATACTTTTTTGTTGTTTGTTTGTTGTATTTTTTTTCTTTGCTTAGCTATTGAAATAATAAAATAATATCACCATTTTATTTTTCCAGTATAATATTTCCGCTCAGGATTTATTTTGTCATAGCTAATGTTCTCCCGAACCATATTTTTCTTCATTTATCTTGATTCTTATGGTCCAGCTCACCGATCAAATTTTGATATTGTTTTAGGATTAGTTAGACACTGTTGATTTTGTCGATGTGTTTAGTGTCAATCAATATAATTGCAAGCCACAATGATTGGTAAAACTTAGCCCCCACGCAACAATACTCTGGGAGGTGGTGGTGTTGAACTTGGAGAAGAGTTGGGATTAGGTTTGGGAAAGGAAGTAGTTGGGGGAAGAGATTATGTTCGAATTTGGTAGCAAGTAAAGTTAAACTACATCAGGTGAAGACAGAGAAGAGGGAGTTGGCGAGTGTGGTGATCAAATTGAGGAGGGTATTGAAAGCGATGTTAGTGCAAACAGCTTCGACCCTCTTGAAGGTGCTGATAATTCAGGCCTAGATTCAGATGATGATGATGATGAGGTCTCTCGTGACCATGTACCTTTCTCGTACCACAATCACATTCCAAATGAAAATTGGTATGTTGATGTCGACATGGAGCCGTGAGAGATGCCAGTATAGGGCCCACTCACTGGGTGTACGAAGGGCCAACAATTTGGTACGAAGAAGGAGATGTGGCGCGTTGTTGACACTGAAGCAATGACTCAGAGTTTTGAATGGCGCACAACTCATTCTGATCTAAAGAGGCTCATAGTTAGATGCCAAAATCAACACGAGGGTTGCAAGGCTAGGGTCTAGGCCATCAAGAGAAAGAGAGTCGGCCATTGGGTCATATCCCATGTGGTGAACAGACACACATGTGTGTCATCCATAACATCCCAAGACCATCGACAGTGGAAACCCAGGGTGGTTTTCGCAGCATTTCTAGTCGTTATGGATATGTTATTAACTATAAGAAGGCGTAGCATGGAAAGTAGAAAGCCATGGCCGCCGTGTTTGGTGACTGAGAAGAATCATATGCATTCCTTCCCAGATTGATTTTGGCATTGGAGGCGTCTAACGCTGACACAGTTTTCTCCCCGCACTACCAAGATGAAGAAATCCATCCGCCGGAGCCCTGTAACAGACGCCATTTCAAACATCTTTTCTGGTCATTCAAGTCATCTATTGGTGATTTTCCCTTTTGTGTTCCTGTGATGTGAGTGGATAGAACATTCCTTACCAACAAGTACAAGAGCACTCTCTTTATTGCCAGTGGAGCATATGCAAACATAAGTGTCTTTCCCTTAGCCTTCGCCATTATTGAGACATTCCATGATCCATCCCTGCCAGGTAGAATTAAACCCTAACTTTTTCAAAATCGCGAGCAATAAAGGCCATTCGACTCTATCATAGGCCTTTTCCATGTCAACCTTTAGAGCCATATATCATTTCTTCCCTCGCGATTTGATTTTGAGGTAGTAAATTAATTCATGCCCTAGTAGGACATTATCCACAATCTGCCTCTCACGGATAAAAGCATTCTGCCATTCAGACACAATTTGTGGTAAGAGTTGGGCTAGCCGGTTTGCTATGATTTTAGTAATAATCTTGTATACAAACTGACATAAGCTTATTGGCCCGAGTTGTCTCATGTCTTCAACATTATCCACTTTAGGGACTAGAGTAAGCCAGGTAAGTTTGAAGCTCCGGAGAAGCCTGCTTGTCTCAATGAAAGCACTAACAGTCTCAATCATCGACGAAACAACCACAGACCAGAAAGCCCTAAAGAATTTGCCCGTGAACCCATCCGACCCAGGCGCCTGCTTTGACCCCATAGAGAACACCGTTTCCCGAATTTCCTCAGGAAGGACAGCAGCCATAAGACTATCATCATTTCAGCTGTTACTAAGCAGGCGATTGGCAGGTTGGCAATTCTGGTGTCCATGTTCAAGACCTGATTTTCCAAGGTACAGAGGGACTGATAAAAATCAGTGGCAATACCAGCCTTTCCTCCTTCCTCGGTAACCCATTCTCCATCGGCATTACGGAGACCAGACACAAAGTTCCTTTTACGACGAGCCTACCTGACTGTATGGAAATACAACGTGTTCTTATTGCCTTTCTTTAGCCTGCGGACCCTCGATTTTTGTTGCCAGTAGACTTCCTCTGTCTCTCATTGTCGAGTCAACTCTACCTCCAGGACACTCTCTTCCTCCCAGATGATTGGACTAATGTGTTTTATTCGATCAATCTCAGCCTGTAAAGTCCGAATATTTCTAAGAGAATTAGTTGTGCCCACGCTACTCCAATCATAGAGTAAATGACGAAGTCTTTTAAGCCTCTCCCAAAGACGATACATGGGTGACCCTGATATGATCCAACTTGGATCAATCTACAAGCTAGAGTTGCTTGATCAAGTAGCAATATCATTCACTAACAAGAAATCTGAAATTTATCGTGTTGATACAGTTGCAGGTAAGCCAGTTTGCAAGCTTGGTCTTCACACATGGGTGAATGGAAATTGGGTTTCAAGGGCTTGTTTGAACTATGGGATGCTCTTACATAGGTTGGTAAGCCTGGATGCTCGAGATGAAGCCATAAGGGTCATGTTTGGAGCCTCTCAAAATGCTTTGTCGAAACTGGAATTCTGCCAGAAATTGGCTAAGTGTCATAACCAGTTTGAGTACCTGATTTTGAAGGCTAATTCAAGGAAGATGGATGGGAACTGCTCCAATAGGGCAATGCTACATGAAACTAGAGGTTTCCTACTACAACATAGAGGCATTGGGTGACAGAAAGGAAGATTGGAAGCCTTCGAATGAAAGCGTGCAAGATCGTTCGAAGACTAGCTGAAGCTGTCTTGCAAAATCAGCAATCCGTTTCGTTTACGGATTAGGAATTCTTTTAACCTTGTTTTTTTTTTTGCATTATAATTTGGTTCTTGTTTATTTTTTGGACTTTCGTATTAGTTGTTTAGCTAGCCCAGGTTGATTTAAGCTTTCAATTACGGTGTAATCATCAGATTTTATTCAATTGATTACAAACCAGAGTTTGATTCATCTGGCTTTGCTACGTGAGTTGAGAAGAGAAACTTAGGAGAATTCTAGGTTGTTTGAGGAGCTTGTATCGATCAATCATCACCTTGATTGTAGCCAGCCAGCGTGTATCTATTTCGAGCCTTTCTCCGTGTGAAGAATTGCACAAAATCGACCACCCGATTCATTAACTTTTACCCTGTTTTGCTTGAGTTCGAGAATTGAGTTGAGCTCAATTCATTGTTGTGCGATTCTGGATACAGAGACCCATCTAGGCCCTCATAAAGTGGCAATTAGGTCTGGTTCATTCGCCGTGGACAAGACAAAACGTTGCCAAAACTACTCATTAGACAAGATTAAAAGGTTCTGTTTTGGAAGACCCTGCGGTTCTGATTTCGGAATAGAAGAATGAAGAAGACGTACACAGAAGCTCCAATGGGGGATCCCAACAGGGAGGATCCCATGGCATTAATTCAGGCTACGCTTGCCCAGATGAATGCCTCTTTTCAGCAGCAACTGGATCATATCACCCGGCGACTTGACGAGATGAAGCCACCAGACATAGAAACAGAGACAGAACCAGTCGTGGCCCAGGCTGTTCAAAACGACCCAAACAACATCAATCACCCCTTGGATGAGAGGCTACGCAATGTCGAGCAAAAATTATTCGCCACTGAAGACGATCCGAACCCTCGCAATAGAGGCAATCGGGACTTTGGCCGGAGAATCAATGGAGCAGAGTTGGACGGTCCAGTCACAGAGTTGCGAGGAATTAAACTAGCGATTCCCTCTTTTTAGGGATCGAACAACGCGGCAACTTATTTAGATTGGGACCGGAAGATCCTTGTCTTCTTCCAGTGTGGAAGCTACACAGAGCAGTATACGAATTCACCGATTACTCGACGACTTGGTGGGAGCAGACACAGATGAGGAGACATCGCAACTTTCAGCGTCCAATCACCACGTGGGATGAGCTAAGAACCTTGACGCATCACCAATCCATCCCTGGATATTACCAAAGGGAGCTCTTCGATTTCCTTCAATCAATTCAACAGGGAACTTGAACTGTGGACGAATACTACAATGAGCTCGAGATACTGCTGATGCGAGTTGATGTTCGAGAAGACCGCGAAGCCACCATCACGAGGTTCTTACATAGGCTAAACCGAGACATCATACAGGAGGTGGAGCTCAAGCAATTCGTTGATTTAGAAGAAGCTGTGAATTTGGCAATCAAAATCGAGAAACAAACCAAAGCCAAGAGATTTTCTTCCCGAAGTACAACAGAGAACTCCCTGGACTCCAATATGGTACCAATTTGGCAAGAAATTCCGAAGAATTTACCTCGGTCTCCAGAACAAGGCCGAGACCTCCACCAGTTCGATCCAATGCTTTAAATGCCATGGTAGAGGGCATAAAGCAAATCAGTGTCTGAATATTAAAACACTGATCTTGCACGATGGAGAGTATACTAGTGACGAGGAGGAAGAACGGCAGGACGAGGATGCATCGCCTAAAGCGGAAGTCGATGAGGAAATTGGCATCGCAACTGCAGTTCCTAGCAAGCTCTTAACAATTAATCGAAGGACCTTGACCCTCAAAGCTCACGCCTCTGAAGAGCAGCGAGACAAGCTCTTCCATTCACGTTGCGTTGTTAATGGCAAACTCCTCTCCCTGATCATCGATGGAGGGAGTTGCACGAATGTCATAGGTGGAGAAGTTGTTAAGAAACATAAGCTGAGTACCACTAAACATCTAGTGCCATACAATTTGCATTGGCTTAATGATTATGGTGCTATTAAAGTGACCAAGCGAGCTCGAGTTTCTTTCGAAATTGGTGACTACAAGGACGAACTAGAATTTGATGTCGCTCTAATGCAGGCAACCCATATACTTCTTGGCCGCCCCTAGAAATTCGATCGACAGGTATGGCACTACTGGGGGACTAATTTTTACAAGTTGAAGCACCAAGGTCAACAGTTTATGCTCAAGCCAATGACACTTGTTGAGGTTCGAGCTGATCAGCAACAATTGGTTGTGAATCGGTCCAAGGAAAATGGAGAGACGAGTGGGGGGGGGGGGGGGGAGGAGGCGAGTTTCATCGCTCGTCCATACCTGCTAACCGTACTAAAACTAAAACAGTTTCATCCACGCAGGCTAGCTACTATGAAGAAGCTCTGTTCGCCAGCGGGAAGAAAATAGGGCAAGAGAGAGGGGTAATTGGGAGGGGGGGGGGGAATAATGGGAGATGAATCGAGCTCCGCCCTCGGTGCCTACACGTTGCCCATACTACCAGGATACTCATCCCAAGATTGTACTGAGTCAACTATCATCACAGCTCATGATCCGATTTGAGCAAAATTTGCCCTGGAAAAGCTAAACTACGTTGAAAAATTGAGCGAATGGGTTGGAGCATTCACGGATGATTCGACGCCAACGGATGATGCAAAATTATCAACTGCAGTCCCAGGAAGCTATGGGAATAATCCAATTCGAATGGCGATGCGTGGATAAAAAATGCCCAATTCGTACTTGGGAATTTTGGGTTCGGGCCTTTCAAAATCCGACGATGGCGGAAAACTGGAAAACGATGATTCAGCGATTACGCCAAAGAATCAAGAGGGAAGGTCAAATTAGAAATTCAATTCGAAGTTCTCGGAAGCTCGTGGAAGCAGTGAATTAGCCTGGGAATGTGTCAAATGGAAACGGCCAAATCATCCAACGATGAACACTGGCCTAATTTCCCACAGACTCGAGTTTTGGAAGCCTTATTTCGACCCAATTTGGATTGGATTTTGTGATGATTTCGAGGAGAAGAAAGCCAAAGCTTTGAGGGTAAAGCTTTTTTACGGGGGGGGGGGGGGGGGGGGGGGGGCTGATATGATCCAACTTAGATTAATCTACAAGTTAGAGTTGCTTGATCAAGAAGCAATATCATTCACTAACCAGAAATATGAAATTTATCTAAGTGTTGATACAGTTTAAGGTAAGCCACTTTGCAAGTTTGGTCGTCACACATGGCTGAATGGAAATTGGGTTTCAACGGCTTGTTTGAACTATGGGATGCTCCAACACAGGTTGATAAGCATGGATGCTAGAGATGAAGCCATAAGGGTCATGTTTGGAGCCTCTCAAAATGTTTTGCTCGAGATGAATCCATAAAGGTCATGTTTGAATTCTGTGCTTGTTTATGTTTTCGACTTTCGTATTAGTTTTTTAGCTAGCCTAGGTCTATTTAAATCTTTCAATTATGTTGTAATCGTCAGATTTTGTTCAATTGAATACAAACTAGAGTTTGATTCATCTAGCTTTGCTACGTGAGTTGAGAAGAGCAACTTAGCAGAATTATTGGTTGTTTGAGGAGCTTGTATCGATCAATCATCACCTTGATCGTGGATAGGCAGCGTTAGCCTATTTCGAGCCTTTCTTTGTGTAAAGAATTGCAGGAAATCGACCACCCATTCATTAACTTTCACCCCTGTTTTGCTTGAGTTCGAGAATTGAGCTCAATTCGTTGTTGTGCGATTCTGGATACAGAGACACATCTAGGGCCTCATCAGACCCTTGCACATCCTCCAGCCAAACATACGTGACCATAGCCTTAACCTCCAGATTATCCACCCATCGTGCGTCAAATCGAAACAATGGCCGACTATGTCTGACATAGGGTGTATCTGAAAGGACCAGAGCTCGATGGTAAGACCCCCTAATTAGTGAAGTGTTGAACAAGAGTATCATGGAATCTATCCATCCAGGATTGCGAATAGAGGGCCCTATCCAACCACTCACGAATGCAATCCGCCCCCATCCTTTATTGGTCCAGGTGAAAAGATCACCCTGGTACCCCAGATCATGGAGGCCCATATCGTGAATAAAATTCATGAGAGCAAGTGACTGGTTAATATGCCAGGTTCCACCACCATCTTTCTCACTCTCATTCAATGTATCGTTGAAATCTCCTATAACCACAAAGGGAAGAGGAAGTTCCTCACAAGTTTGATAGAGAAGCTCAAGTTGGTTCGCACGAATGATTCCATGGCAGCTTAAATACACACAAACCACCACATAAGAAAAATCTCCTTCATTTATACGAACACAAATACAAAATTCTGAATGCGAAAACACCGAAGTATCAACTTCGGGGGCTCAAGCTACCACTAAACCACCCGAAATATCGATGGCATCGACAAAAAAAACAATTAGAAAAAAGAAAACCCAAACCCCGCATTCTGCGGGAAATTACTTTCCGGCGCGATCTCGTCTCCGAAAGGAAAACAAGGTCCGGTTTATTGGAATGAGTTAAACCTACAACAGTTTGGAATGTTAGTGATGGTCCAGTTCCCCTCACATTCGAGGCCAATAGCCTCATTTATCTAATTGGGGCCATTTTAGGTTGGCATCCTCCACCTTAGTAGCAATTATGTTGTCTTCCACAAATTGTGTTTTGGGCGTAGGCAACCCTTCCATTTTACCACCCACTTCTTCAAGAGAACGCTTCCGGTCACCAGTGCCTGAATCCACAAAATTGGACCCATATTCATTGATTCCCCGGATCATCTCTCTTTTAGAAATAGGAGGCGTACCAGTTTGCTTCGGAGGATCCTGACTTGTCGCCGAACGAGCCCGGGCACTCTCCTCACTCGTGGTGAGCAGCATGTCGGTTTCTAAAGCTTCCACAGTCTGGCAGACCTGACCACAATTGAATTGAGAGGCAGCCAATGTTGCCTTTCCTTTAACACGATTCTTGATCTCGTAGAGGCTGACATCTTCGTCAGAGAGGAGCGGCTCCGAACCCGAGGACACTTGATTTTCCAACTGCGTACTACCCCAAACAACGGAGGGGAGGTTAAATCGAGGGAAGGTGAGGAGTGGAGACTCCTGGGCGTCCGAAGACAAATCTCCCCACTCCACGCAAGCATCAGTGTCGGCCTATTGATCAATGTTGCTCTCCGAATTGATTTGAGTCATAGACCTAGGGCGGCCTCCATTTCTAGTATGCTTTCCCAGTGATTTAACCTCCTTACTTTGGGGCCGCTGCGCCTGGGAAGTGTCAGTCGCCTTTTGCTTTTTACCAATCCTTAGCAATCCCCGACCAGACCGACGCGGATTCCCTTCCTTCTGGGCGCGACGAGAGTCCCCACCTTGGTCAAATCCCTCTCCTTCACGACCACGCATAGGTTGCATGGGAGGAGCAGCGGGTGGGAGAAAGTTCTCAGGTTTCTCCTCGAGGATCAACCTCCTTCTTCTAGCTATCTTGCACGTACTAGAAGAATCAGGAGGCGCCTCTTCTTGCCGATCCTCCTCAACTCCCATAGCTGCCATTTTGTTCATCACCTTACCCTTTCGGGACACCTTATGCTTCCACATCCCAGAAGAAATGAGAGACACCTCTCTTTGCCATTTTTCCTCAATTCTCGCAGCAATCACTTTATCATTATAGGATATCACTTGCTTCTCTTTCCCACGCAATTGTTCCAATTATTTAATGGGCTCACCTAAACGAGCGCTCCCCACATCCCGGGAGCTTCAAGCATAGTCTTTCTTCTTAGGGAGCTGAAGCGCCAGCCACGTCCTAGCTGGATCTTGGGTGACCACGACATAGTAAACTGGCGAGGGTTGTTGCCTTGTCGGGTTTCCAACTTTTTCTCCCCCCCCCCCCCCCCCCCAAGTCCCCTTGGTACATTTATTGGTTCCGAGTTATCATTTTTTCTCGTAAAGTCCCCAGGCATTGCGCTCTTGACGACTACCTTGTCATGTTCATGATCGACCTAGATTTCTCATCAGACCTAGTTATATTT